GTTAAATGTCCAGAACAAGGCATTCCTGCGGATACACACGGAGAAGAGGGTCTGAGTTATGGAACTCTGCCAGGTTGTGTGTGTGTAAGCGTTTATGATGTGTTTATGTGGGAGTATGCAAGAGAATCTATTTCAAGGCGCTGCAATATGTTTGAATTCTATTTCCATGTGAGGAAAGGGTGCCCACGCATACGAAGGGAATGTGATTTATGTGTACGTGTGCTTGAAATAGAGTTGGAGGAAAGCACAATATATGGCATAATAGAAAGGAATGATAGAATTCAGATGCAGATAAGGACGCAGAATGTAAATAGATTCTGCAGTGCGTGTGTAGACAGTATTTTCCCTGCATAGAACAATGGTTTATAGAATTCCTGCAATTTTTTTTCTTTCTGGAACGTTCTGGGTCTTAACATTTGCATCTCTGACCGTACCAAATTTGTCACAATTTCAGGTAGCACTAATGTTGAAATGCAGAGGCTGCAATTACGAGAGGAAGGCTTAATCCTATTCTTTCTCATTATGCTAATGCATAAGAAGCTTCTGTGGTGCACATGAACAAAGCATATTGTATCCTTCCAGTGTGAACAGCAGGGATATAGCATACTGTATGCCATTTCATACCACCTCTTCAGATCCACTCCAGCATAAGGTGGGAGACTGACGTGAATATACTGACAAATCCTCTACATGTACTGAAATCTTACATGTGGATTACGCTTGCATAGCATGGCAGCAGGAACCAAGGGCTAAATTGCTTGGATCCTACAATGGTCATGAATATGTGAATAAGACATGTCTTCATTTCATTTAGTAATGCTTTGTGAGTTGCTAATATTTACAGTGGCTGTGGCTATCATGCTCAAAAAGATCACCACTGACATTGCAATTATGTTCAAGACAAGTCCAAGAGGTCGTTTTGCCTCAAAATACAGGAAACAACAGACCTTTATAAAGAGCAATTAACACTACTCCTCCACTGAAATTATTTATACGTATCTATATCTACCAGACAGCACAAGAGGAGTCCTGATATGCCTTTTTGAAGCCATTTTGGCTCAGTTTACTTTGCTCTCTAGAAGGAGCCAGGCAGTGCTCTGTGCCTCCATTGCGGTTCAGTTTTTCTGAAAGAGGAGTGTGCAGGCGGTGCTCAAAGCCGAATGCTAATCCCGTTACTCCGCGAAGTGTGAAGTGTAACTGCAGCGGCTGCCTCCTCGCCGGCTCAATAGAAGCTCTGTGGTGTTAGGAGGCATCTTCCATGCCCTGGAGCCCTGCACCTAGAGCCTCACACCCCTGGTTACTAATACCTACTCGCACATAAGGATGGGTGTGGTTTCACAAACATGTGGATATCTGACCTCATCTTAGTATTCACTGTTAAAGCTGTTAAAGTTAACCCATTAATGTGATAAATTATTACTGCCATTCTTGGGTATTGATTGTATATATTATATTTACAGTAGCTAGTTCAAACATGAAGTCACCTGGGTGTGGTTAATGAAAACTTGAACTGCACTTCCTTTAGAAATCACAATATCTTCATGTTCAAGTTCATAGAAACCCTGTGTTCATATGATGAAAATAATGTTATTGAATTAGTGAAAGTGATAGATACACTGAAAAATGAATGATGAAGCTTATTTTGTCTACAGAAACAAGAAAATGCACTTATTTTCAAATGAAGAAAAACTTTTTTTCTTTAGGGTTCATTTTTTTTATAATTGTTTATTTTATTTAATGTATTTATTAACTGTTATTTTGTGAACGTCTAATCAATATTATTTTAGGTGTTTAACAGGCCTAATTCATTTACTTAATCGAGCTAGCTGCATAAATGAATGTTAAACCTTCTGTGTTTTTGTTTTTTCAATACAACAATATAAAACAGCAATATAAACAGGTTTAATTCAATATTTTAAAAATAAATACTTTTCAGTTAAAACTGTGGAGCGTATTTTGTTTAAAACTGTGGATATCTGAATAGCAATAAAGGTTAAAACGCCTAACCCTATCCTTGTGCTCTCAGACACAAACCAGGCCATAGACAGCTGCGAAGCGCTTGTATTGAGCTTGCTGAGCGTTATGCCTGTCAGGCTGTGTTTTTTACAGTGTGATGTTGAATTAATCAGCTGCAGCTCCGGAAACACGGGTGATGTAAGGACGGGAAGTGCTGATGGGTCTTTTATGATGGGATTCGTCTGCGTTATAATGCACTAGCAGCCAGATCAATTGTCTGAGGTTCGAGGTAAAATCAGCCCCTGAGGACTGCTTAGCTCTGTGGTGCGGATCTAAGGGAATGTGTAGAGTGCCTGAGTGTGTATGTGGGTGTATGTGTTTGTGGTGTGACTCTCAGGGCCTATTTCTCATTGGTTGTTAATGTTTTGTCTCAAGGTCCAAGCTGACGCAGGGGTGAGGCACTGGGTTGTAAAGGTGATAGAGTGTTGGGAGTTCCTCCTCTTTTGGCGACGTGAACATGTGTATAGATGCATGAGCTGCTGACTCAGCAGGTTTCTGTCTCTTCGGAGAGTGAACTCTAATCAGAGCTCTCACGGGCCCCTCCATGCACTGACGCGTGCAGTGGATGACAGCCACTGCGTGTCTGACAGCCAGAATTTTGTGTCAATGCTATGTCTACTAGCATCACGTGTACGTACCTCTAGCATTTATGAAACACAAATGGTACATTCATTGTTAAAGTTCTTGAATAAAAATGTATTACTCAGAAGCACAAATAATGGATTTGAATTTAAGTGTACTTTATGCTTGATTTACAGGTCATACAGCTAGTTTATCTGCAAACTACTCTGCTGGAGTTAAATTTGTCTCTTTAAATACATCTGTGCACCGGCATGCAGCACATCTACCCTTCATTTATTTATTTTCCAGTCCAATGTTACTGAGAAAAGGAAAGAGACAGAAAAGAAATAAAAGTACAAATCAAACAAAGCAACTGCTGGTGTTCTCCAAAGGCCTGACCTTAACATCACTGAATGTGTTTGGAATTACCTGGATTGTGAGGAGCAGAAAGAATGTAAGTAGTAAAAACAACTAAATGCTAAAAATCTGATGTGTTTCTAAAATGTTGCTCAAAGTGCAACATTAGCAATATAGTTCTATATCAGCATCAACTCTGCACACTTAAAATGTAGTGCAAGTAAAATGCAGCACATAACATACAGTACCAGTTTATTAGCTACCTTGTAGCTGCACTTGTCGGTCATTTTATCAGAAACACAAGTGCAACGAACAGGTGCACTTTGTAGGTATACATTTACTGCTGATCACATTATTTGGGTTCTCAGCTCTTCAGTGACACAGTAGTATGGTGCAGTGGTATTAACTGTGCAACAGGTGGGCTACAGTCAGTAATTATAAATCTACATAGTGCACCTATGTAGTAAGTGTATCTGATAAAATGAGCAGTGAGTGTAGATATAAGATAGGTGTCGCTAATAAACTGGCACCATAGTATAACTTTGTCTTTTGGACAAATACAAACAGCAGCATCCCTGAGCACTCCTCTCCTTCATTATCTCGCTGTTGCCCTCCCGACTTTGCTTCGACCCCTCAGGTCTACACTTGAACTCCAGCGGGGCACCGGGTGTCTAAAACATGGGCTATAAAAAGGCCACCCACATAAGGAAGCGGGCCAGTCATCTATCACTTGACTCTGACATGCAGCTTTTTTCGTGCCATGGCTCTTTTTTCCGCTCCCCTGACGCTGCCGCTTGTTAATATGACAGCTCTGATGCCTAGCTGCCACTCCGCTCTAGCTCACTTCATTACGGCTGCCCAGAGGTGACCTTCATCTCCCTCTCTTTCTCTCCGACTCTCTCGCTCCACTCGTCCACCACCTCTCATGTCCTCGCTGACGCGGTCACTCTCCTGACTCTTTCTGTCATTAGTGGATAGTATTGTATTTTTGCCATCATGTAGTGGGTGGTTTACATAGAGAGGTAAGGAGAGGAGAGGAGAGGAGAGAAGAGAGAGCATTGCTCCATTTTTGACCACCTATCCGCACAGTTTTAAAGGGACTATAAAACATTCTCACTTAAAACACAAACACTGTCTCAAAAGTACTGTCCACTCTCCTGTCCATACAGCCCATTTATGCAAATTAATCAACGCATCAGCCTATTTTGTATGAATAGACTGGTGGTTTTAATGAAGATGCTTGACAGAATGCTCAGTAAGTGAGTGAGTGAGTGAGTAAGTAAGTTGTCAAAGCAGGGGCTACTTTGAGGAATCCACAGTATAAAATAGCTGTAATTTGTTTACTTTCACTTACATGCAGGGCTCGTACATCTTTTAAACAATGGAATTCCATGACTTTTCCATGACATAAAATGAAATTTCCATGCCTAACATTTAGCATAGTGCTAGGCGATATATCATCTATACCAGGGGTCGGCAACATGCGCCTCCATAGCCGCATGCACCTCTTTAACTGCCCTGTTGCGGCTCCACAGCAGAATTAGATTTTTAGGTAAAAATAAAATAATCCTCTACTGCAGTAAAACAAAGGTCTGCTGATCGTTCTATAACAGTTTTAGCAATAAACAGTCTTAAATGCTGGAGTTGTATATGTATAACTGCTAATTCACCCTTTAAACCTGAAGATTGGCGCGCAGACTACTGGTCACAATAGCAATGCAGAAAGTTTCCTGCAGGAGATGCGATTAAAGTGGCTATAGCTGAGTCTGCATTTTTGTTTGGATTATAGTCTTGGCCTATACCTGTGCATTAGCACATACTGATACATATTTACAGCCAAGATGGTAAAATGGACATAAAATGTTGTGGCTCCCAAGGTGGTTTCATTTTTATTGAAAGGACAAAATGGCTCTTCTTAACATTCTGGTTGCCGACCCCTGATCTATAATGATATATGAACACACAAACCCTGTATATAGCTTTCATGTGTTTGCTATTACTCTAAAATGTAGAAAATAATAAAAAGAAAAAGAAAACCCTCCTATAAGTAGGCATGTCACACTGACCTGTCTCTCAGACATCACATAGAGGTAGTTGCAGTCCACGGAAAAGGCCATGTCTCTGAGGATAGGACTGCCGTCTTTAATGACAGACACTGTCTCGTACTGCACTCCACCATGAGGGGGACCATCCACACGAATCTGAAAGAAGAAGAATAAGAAAGACACACATGAGTAAATAACCGACATAACCCCTATTTTGATATTATATTGCCATCAGATAATATAACATTATTGACTTGGACATGCATTTCATAACATTTTTATCTGCTTCAACATCAGAGTCTGACGCTCCCAATACAATACACATTACCATACATGTGGTAAAGCAGGATTCAGTGTATCATGATGCCTCATGACTAGGGCTGTCACAGTCGATTATATCATACATACATACATACATCATCTAAACCGCTTATCCTTCTGGGTCGCGGTGGGGTGCTGGAGCCTATTCCAGCTGTCATTGGGCAGAAGGCAGGATACACCCTGGACAGGTCGCCAGTCCATCGCAGGGCAGACAGACAGACATACACATTCACACACTCACTCACACCTAGGGGCAATTTTAACAAGTCCAATTGGCCTGACTGCATGTTTTTGGACAGTGGGAGGAAACCCACGCAGACAGGGGGAGAACAGGCAAACTCCACACAGAAATGATCCTGGTCACCCGGCCGGGAATCGAACCCAGGCCATTCTTGCTGTGAGCCGTGCCGCCTCGATTATCATCACAGAAACTACCAACTAATCATTACTGATTTATCGAGAAGGTAAATTTTAATCAATTATTTAATTATTTTAACTGAGTAATTGAGTTTAACTCATTAATCTTGACAGCCTAATCACACAACAGTTAAGACTCAAAGAAAGGGCTAAAATAATGGTGGTTAAAAGTTAAATAAATATATAGGTCCATTAATATTTTTAAACAACAAAGCTTCTCTATTATTCTTAACAGCTTTAATGTATAACCATCTTACTTTACTCTTTGCAAAGGATCATTTACTCAATTAAAAAAACTTAGTAATCACTTGTTATTCTTACCAAGGCCACAAAGTCACACTGTCAAATGAGTCTGTTGAATGACATCAAAGCTCGCATATGTGACATGGCGGTCTCATCCTTTAGTCATTAAGCCATTTAGCCCAACTCCCCACGCAGCCATTAGTGGCAGACGCACTGGGATTGCCTCGCAAGTGGTGCTGTGTTTGTGTGTGTGTGTGTGTGTTGGGGGGGAGGGGGGTCAACTTTGGGTCAGCCGTCTGTCTAGTGAGACTTCACAATGGCAGAATAGAGGGGGCGTGACAGCGCAGAAGCACCAAAAGACTGATCTTGACGTGAAGTCGAACTTCAAAGCCTTGTGATGGGACAAAACAGCATAGTCCTGTCTAGAAGATACTTGAAGCACAAGTTCAACCTTATGGCTAAATAATGAGGCTGTACTAAAGATAATAAAATCCCAATTACTTGGTACTGGTGAAATTCAAAGATTGACCGTGAAACTAGACTTGATTTTTAGGCAGCAATTTTGCCTAAATCAAATTACTAAATTTTACCAGAAACTTATTTACAGAAACTTGTTTCTTTATTTTTGCACTGGAGTCAGGCTAATGTGGCTCACCAATTTGCACAGACTGGATGCTTAAATCACGCACTTGCTTTTAACCACATCAGGCTATTAAATAATGTCAAATAAACTTGCAGATGTAGTTTCTGACGCTGTATGACATACTATTATTTATAAAAATAGTCAAATTTAGGCTTCAGTGGTTGCTACTGTTGTTTCCAGCTATGCAATAAATATGGTCAGCTATTACAGATAACAGTATAACATACAATGTGAGAAACCACATAGGCAAGTCAATTTGAGATTACTTAACAACTCAACACAGTTTGAGGCAAATATGTGATGATTCAAACATGTAGTTTACACAATGTTAACTGGTAAGCTATAAGCCCCCATTACTTGTTAGCTACATTAGCCTCATAGCTTCAGCTCAGTACTAAAAACATGTCTGAATGGCTGATCATTTAAACAATTTGGACAGTTGATTTTCTGCTGAACTTTTCCTTTATGTGCTGTAGTGCTACTGCCTTTATGACTTTAGGACTTTTACCCTCCAGTCTTGATTTCTAGGCATTGATATGGCTTGAAGAAACCACAGATATAGAATCAGCACTGTCATCCAAGGTTTTACATACACGTCAGTCAATTATTTTCTAACAAATCAAATAACTACAGAGTAGTAAAAAGTCAGGATTACTGCCTTCTTCCTTTGCACACAGTGCATGCAACCAATCATTAATTCTCACATCAATTGCGCTGTGAAAGAGCACTGAATCAGATGTGACTGTGGAACTAGAATGCCTGGTACTTGTTGAGACTCCCCTAAAGCATGAATCAATGGTCGTGCAATGCAATCGTTCCTCCGGAGCAACATAACCTTGAGCAAAGTCAAGAGTAGCCAATCGCAACTGCAAAATCTCCAGCATAGTGGGTCCAACCACTATAGCATCGCTGTATGGTCATGGATGAGAAAAGCATGCGTGCTGGGGGAGGAAATCTCACAGCCCCTCAAGCCCCTAAACTGACATTTACAGTGTGCCAACACACACTCGTAAAGGTAAATATGTTCATACATAAAACATGTCACTCGGTCAGTGAGGCCTTTCTCCTCGGCTGAGCTGACCAAGAACACACTGCACTGACTTTCTGTCACCCGCAGCCAACTATTCTACAGACAAGGCTTAAAGGAGCACTGCGTTTTACCTGACCTTCAGTGTTAGGATAGCAGAGAGCTAAGAATTAAAGTGAAATTTAATCAAATTTTCAACATTTCTGCCTAATACAATCACTGAGAAACAAACTAATTCACAATGTTTTGATGTGAAGGGGTGCAATGTAAAAAAAAAACATACCAACTCTGATTTCTGATTCACAGATTTTTTTTATATGTTGATGATAAAATAATGATGAATTTAAAAGAAACAGGATTTCCTTGGGGACTGTTTTGCCTGACGATGTCATGTGTTTATATCCATATATGGATTTTACAAAATGTTTTAGGTTCAAAACTGTGATAAAACAATGTCTGAGAGAATGATGGAAAGCTCTGCACCTTGCTCTACAATTTGTATAGTATTTTAGATTCTTTGAGTTTTTCCTGAAACACAAAATGCCAGTTATATCTGGCAATTCACAGCTAACAACTAACAATCACAGCTGTCAATAAAGCACCGTTTGACTAATACTACTGAAATCAGATTTTTCATCAGTTGAGCCCTAATATTTCAAATGTGATATCTAGCTATTTATGTTAAATCTTTACAATCTTTTAAAAAGTGCACACATACAGCCACACAAGCTCAGATGTCTGCCTGCTCTAACTCACATTCAGTTGCCCTCGCTCATTCATTTTTGCTGTCTCTCTATGAAAAGGTCTGAGAGAGAGATCATTTTTTATTGCAGGGGACATTTATTATTCTCTGTAATGACTTCTGCAGTTTTACTTTGTGTTCACTTTCCATATTTTCAGTTTTATTTTGTATGCTTGCTTTCTGTATTTTCAATATCCACTCCTCTGCAATGTCTGCAATTGTGATTTCTGTGGACCCTCCCCTGTGTGTGTGTGTGTCTGCATGTGTGTAACGGAATATAAATTAATGTTCGTAACCCCCCCCTTAGCTGCAGTTCTGTCCCAAGGTCTCCAAATCTCAGTGTTTTCCAGCTGCCTTTTACATTAAGAAGTCAGACACTGAAGGACTTAAACTTAGAGCTTGACCCATGCATCATTCGGCCAATAACATCAGCCAATATTGGGGCTTCCTAAATGTTTTGGTGTCACCAGATAAACCATTAATATTTAGAAGTGATTTGTTTGATACTGTAATGAACACAATGCTCTAATATGGAGGGAATCTGCATTTTAACTAGGGCTTTCACAATAATGACATTTTCAGGGCGCTGGGCAGAAGGCAGAAGCATATTTGGAAAATTACATGCAAACCTGATGTGAGCAGCCAGGTCGCACCAGGTTCGGACAACTATTTCAAGCTATAATGTGCAGAGTCATGAGCAAAAGCTAGAATACACTAATTATACAGTATACGCTGTAGTCAAATTACACGTTTTGTTGATTTTCTAAGTTAAAGTAAGTTAACACATCCTCTTCAGGGAACAAACTTAAATATGGCATTTTTTCTGAAAATTGTATTGCACAATGTCTGTGTATTTGCCAAGTTAAACATATCGGGGAACATTAAAAAAAGTTTGGCATAGACCACATTTTACTTTCCCACAATATATTCAATTCTGCAAATAAAGAGTAAATGTGCATTACAATGTGTTGTCTATATAGAATGTGTACTTATTTTCAGTTAGAAAGCCAGCAAAACATGCAATTTGACGAGTGGTGCTTAAACATTTGCATATGACTATATGTTACGCCTCAGTGTATTCACAGGAATCAAGGTCTGCATAGACACACACACATTTGCACTTACACTAATGCAGGGCTACTATTCCTAGCCCTTCATCCATTGTAGAGGGCAATGTAGTACACAGCTCAGTGCAGTAGTGTCTCCAGGGGTGGGACACCTGAAGAAAACATTTCTCATCTGCTCTCTATCTTCACCCGCACCTCGCACCATCCTTCTCACTTTCTCTCTCTCCCTCTCTGTCCTTTAATTATTCACACACCTCTTACTCACTGTTCCTTTAGTCGCAACCCTGGCTGCTGGACAGAATAGCAAATGTTTGGTTGTAGGCTATTTTCCTTTCATTGAGGCTATTTTGTTTTTCTGTTTGTTTTCTCATTTCAACAGTGGCTTGTGGGTGGTCTCACACACGGTATGTTGATGAATGGGTTTGAAGGAATCTATATGCAATTTCAGAAGCTTACATAGAAAAAAACAAGTGCGTGGGTGCATGCTGCTTCTAACAATAATATGTAAGTCAAAGTAAAGGCGTCTTCGGCCTCCATGCAAGAGGAGCTCCAAGAAATTCCACACAAGCCTCCTGGCTGGCTTCTATTTTTTATTCTGAACACAATCATGCTTCAAAAGTCCTATAGTTCCACAGTGGGCCTGCTATCAAAGCGTAAAGCCTTTCTCTCTCTCTCCCTCTCCCCGCTCCTTTCTGA